GGCGGAGGCAGGAGCGGTGGTGGATATAATGTGGTTGAAGAGGGACCAGGGTGGAGGCAGAGTAGGAGGCCGATTGAGGCGTTGTGGTTCGGGAGGGGACAGGGTTGGAGGAAGGGTGGGATATGGCCGGACGAAAGGCAAGTGACACACAAGCGGGGACAGAGGACAGGCACAGGTGGAAGAGGGGACTGGGGAGAGTCAGGGAGAGGCAACGGGTAGATGGATGGGGCAAAGAAAAGCGCGGAGGCAGGAATGGGGTAGAATAGGGGAAGGGGGCATGAGAGAACAGACGAGTTGAAGAGAGATGGAGGAGTTGTTGCGGGGAAAGTGAAGAGGGGTTAACGCATGGGCAAAGGGGGCGATGTAGGCAGAGGAGGGACAGGGGAGGGGCCTGTGGAGGGAGAGGCGGGAACGGAGACACTGGCGGGGCGCAATGCCGCCGGTCTGTTGCGAGGCGCCACCTCGCGCCGCTGATGAAGCCCAGGCCGCATTTGCATTGCAGATGCCCCTTAACTCCCGACTCCCGTTTCTCTTGCTTCTGCCCTTCCACCCCCGCCCTGCTTCCCTGTGGCCCTCGCCGCTATTCTCTTTGCCTACTATACGGATTCCGCACTACCCGCCGACAGTTTTACAGCTCGCGACTATTAGTATTAATACAAAAAAATAATAATTATTTTAGAATTATTTTTACACAGGAATTCTTCAGTTTCGTCATTTTTCTATACATACTATTTCCAGAAATCTATACTCTACGCATCAGTTTCATCAATAATATTTCATTTAATTGAATACTTATCAAAAACACAAAGAGTGACTGTGAATGGACTTTCACTGCTCTATAATTGACAAGAACAAACAGTTTATAAAACATGTACATAGACGTTTAGATCTAAATATTTATTTTTAACGTTTTAGTGTTTTCCATAATTTTCAAAACATAAAATAACGTAACACGAGAAACTAAAAATCAAATTAACGTGTGCTGCAACGTAAATTTCTAAAACATTCTCAGGGGAATTTTAATGTTGATATAAATTAATATAATCTAATTTCGAAACATTCCTCAGTTGTCTCTGAACTATCCAGGATTTCATAATAAAACTTGTACTTTTTTAAAAAGGTATACATTGTAAAAGAAATTAAGGGAAACAAGATAATGGGCGAATTTTCTTTATATACGAGTACTTTCTGTCCTTTCGAACGCATTCAGCTTATGATTTTGAGCTCACAATTGCTCACCTTGCATCAGTCAGTTACGAACGTGTACTTCTGAACATTTTCCACTTTGTATGGTTTATTAATATACTGTCAGCCCTCAGTTGCACACTTTCCACGGCGTAAGCACGGGTTCGATTTCCGTTCGGGGCTAACATCTACTGTGCGCTTTCCTTGCTTTTCCTTCCTTTTGGTTATCAGTCCACCTGCGAGGGACTACTGCGCCAGTCAAATAGGATGAAAGTAAAATTACGATCCAAGTTATTTCAAATAATGGTCCACGTACAAATTATTATTAATAAAATAAATTAACTGACAAGCATAATATTGTACGTACTAGCATATACGTACTAGCGAGCGAACCTCGTGGCAACTATTTGGGGACGCGTGGTAAGGAATTAATAACAGGAAACCGCCTCGCCACAGGAGGGAAAGAAGGGATTTTCCTAAAAGCAAGCACGCGGCTAAGGGAGACACGAGGCTTTGGGGTCTTCTGGTCTTAAGAAACGGAGACCCAAACCTCATGGCAAGCAGAAGTGCGCTGCGGAGACGGCGTGACGTAGTAGATCACGTAAGTCTCGAGTATATTAGGGAGTGCACAGAGCCAATGGGTGGGTTCTGGAGACAGTGGGAGAACCTTGTGCAGTTGCACAAAAACTTGGCGCCACAACGGTGCACCGGCGAGCAGGGCTCGCGAGGCGAGCCTGTGGAGGACTTTGTGTCCTTGGGTGACTGTGATCACGTGGAAACGATGCTGTGTGCGTGCTCCGAGGTGAGAAGTGGTTGAAAGTCACGACTCGCACCGATTCTCAATCGGGTAAGATCGCTCCTGCGATAAAGGCAAACCATCAGCTGGTACGCCGATACGGATTTTTTGTCCCAGTGTGACATCCGGTCACGGAAGCTTGGTTTTGTGCGCGCTTCAGATGTAGGAGTGGCGAGTGTCACAATTGAAACCGATCATCAATCGGCTTGGGATGGTTCCCGCGATCAGGAAATAGCAGGTCTATCAGAGCTAGGGTGTAAAGGGTAAATTCATTGTAAATATTTGTTGTGTTTTCCTTGTAAATAAATATATGTTATATGAAAGCTCGTGTCTGTGTTCGTTGTATCTATGACGTCACAATATAATATTAAAAGCAATTTTATGGTATAGAATCGCACGAAACATTTACTAGTACGATTCTCAATGATTATTTAAGTGTCAATACTAGGTTTGCAACTGGTTGCAGCAATCAAATGACAGAATTATACAATGGGAGTAGAAAAAATAAAATATTGCACAATACATAGATTATGTGATCAAAAATATCCGCACACGTGGCTGAAAATGACTTACGAGTTCTTGGCGTCCTCCATCGGTAATGCTGGAATTCAATAGGGTGTTGGCTCATTCTTAGCCTTGGTAACAGCTTCCACTTTCGCATGCATACTTTCAATCAGGTGTTGGAAAATTTCTTGGGGAATGGCAGCCTATTCTTCATGGAGTGCTGCACTGAGGAAATGTATCGATGTAGGTTGGTGAGGTCTGGCACAAAGTCGGCGTTCCAAAACATCCCAAAGGTGTTCGATAGGATTCAAGTCAGGACTCTGTGAAGGCCAGTCCATAACAGAGATGTTAATGTGTAACCACGCCACAGAGTACAATGTGTAAATACTCCGCCACAGGATGTACAGTATGAACAGGTGCTCCATCGTGTTGAAAGATGCAATTTCCATCTCCGAATTGTTCTTCAACAATGGGAAGCAAGAAGGTGTTTAAAACACCAAATTAGGCCTGTGCTGTGATAGTGTCACCCAAAACAAGGGATGCAAGACCCCTCCATGAAAATCACGATGCGTTTATATTAATTGCTCGATTCAGAGAGAAATACTCGATACTTCTCGGTCTCATTTGTCGCTCTTGAAGTAGTACATTTTCATAGAAGAGAAAGAATCTATCTGCTATTTTGCATAACAATTATATACTTTAGATTAGTAATAACATTGCTATTAGTATAGTTTAAAAGTAATAATACAGTCATAAGTAGTTCATTCGTGAGACTTACTAACTCGCAAAAGCTACATATTTTGGGGGCAACAAATCGTCAAAAGTCTAGAAATATTTACCACTTGTTAAATATTATTTGTCGGTACACCCATATATTAATCGTTTGCAATAACTCGAGCACAGTTCAGACGTTTATTTTACCTGAAATAGGCGGGCAAAAGCATTAATTTTTACAAAAATAGGCACGCAAAATTGGCATTTATTTTCGCTAAAGTAGGGTGCAAAAAACAGGAAACACAAAAAATCACCACTAAAAGTAATTAGAGTAAAAAATTAATAATTAAGTAATTCAAATTTTAATTTTAACTTTACATTAGCACTAACGTCGAAGGAAGCTCCCTTTTATTTGTAATTTTGATCGCACTTGACCATCCGGTTGACGAGCACGAATTTATTTATTTACAATGTTATCGACTGTCTATGATAGATTCTATTAATCAGATTCCACTTTATTATAGACAATAAGTTCATTTGAAATAAAATTAAGACTTTATAAACATAGTTTATTTCAGAGTCTTGAAAATAAGTAGCGGAGCTCTATTGTGTCTCCATCATTAGGCAAATAATGTATATAGCTAAGTTTTTTGAAATAAAAAACATACAAATTAAAAATTGAATGAATATAAATATTGAAAATTTCATCATGTTTAAAAATTTGTGGAAGTGGAACCTAGTTAATAGAACGAATTTATTTTACTCGCGACCATGTCCACAAAATGCTGTTGTGGACTCCCTTTTGAATGTTTAAATGGTAGCAGTGAAATTGGAGTTGTAGATTTCGTCCTTCACACTTATGTAATCGGCAAAAGGTAAGAGAGAACAGGAAGGAACTGAGAAGGGTATAATAATCTCCTTACCATCACTCTTAATACACAGCTCTGCCTCAAAAGGGATGCAAGTTCACACACAAACTGGATTAGATTTCTCGTGAGCGAACAATTCTATAAGCATCAATAAAAAATATCAAAAATCTACTGTGGTATCATCTTCCTTCCCCTTTTAGATTTTGAATACAACCTAACACAGGACCCTCCGCGTTCACAGAAAGACAATACACGACCGTGCCTTCATGTTGTCCAGGATAGTAGGCACCTACTTGATAGAGATTGGTATCAGGAAGGGATTAAGGAATGTGGCTCCAGGGAATTTGACAAAACATTGGAAGTTTACAGTGTGCATAAATTGGATTGA